TAATAGCTTTTAAATATAGATTTTATAATTAACATGCCTAAAAATGCTATTTATATATTATTACTAGAAGAAATTAAATAAGATGCTTCAAAATAGATAAATATTATAAGCATTAGAACAAGCTCTCAATAGAATAAAAATATCTAATATAATAGAGTGCCGACTTTAGAAATTTATTCCTAGAAAATAATATGGATAACACTTCTAAAGATATTAAAACTAGGCTTTTTAATGCTTTTAGAATTCTGAGAAGACTTTTAGATAAGTATCTTTAATGTCCTTAGGGTCTTTAGAAAAAATCAGATCTCTTAGCTTTTTTTTATTTTTTAGCATAGTATAAAAAATGATTATATACTATATGATTATATATAATGGTATATATAGTATAGAAAAAGTTTGAATTTTTTTCTAAAACTTTATTTTTACTAAAAACACTAAGAATATTAGAAACAGAGATAAAGAAATATAACTAATCAATTTCAAATCTTTAAAATAGATATCAAGGTTATTCCTAGAGAGTGTTTTTTAAAAAAATTTTCTAAAAACACTAAGGATAACAAAAATCTGTCTTATTTCACATCCTAATATGTTTGAAAATATGCCAGAAATATGAATGTGCTCTAATATTTCAAAAAATGGAATACTAAATCAGCATACATATACTTATAACAAATAAGCAATAGTTAGATCACAAGATAGTGCATTTTTTGACAAACAAATAGATCAGTCATAATAATGCCTATCATACTTCTGATTCTCTAATTAACTAAAAATACAATATGATGCTTTAATGATTTAAACTATAGGACATAAAATTAGCATACTTATACTGGCAATAAATAGGCAATAATTAGATTGTAAAATACATATTTTTGATAAACAGATAGACTAAAATTCAGGTGCAGTAAGACACAATAAACTTATTTCTAATTTTATTTATTATAAAACCAGTATATATTAATTATATATCAGTAATATATTTACATTTGAATTTCAAATTCTTTGACTGATGCAGTAAGAGCAGTAGACATAGTAAAAATTCATTTAAATTCAACTAATACTATTCTCTAATTTTGGATTTATATTAAACATAATATTTTGACATATAAGTTAACCTAAAACTGGTGAACTAATAGAAATACTCTGATTTCCTACCAGTTCTATGATAGTTTCAAGGAGTATTAGGCATTACCAGATCACTATTATAGTGATCCTTTAGATTATGTATTCTAAAGATTGATCAGAAATTATGTTATAGTATCAGCTGAAATTAATTATTATAGATTTATATTATTTTATTGCATAACCTGTTACCTTTTTTTACATCACTTTGACATTTAGAAAGGCAATCAAATAGATGCATACCTCATCTAAATTTACTAACTAACAGATTACAGAAAGGGAAAATAGACCCATCTTTATAACATATTAATTAATTGATTATAACGTCTTAGGCATATTAGTCTTACACAAGTAAAATGTTCTAAGACATTCTACTAAAATTAAAAGTTAAAATACATTATGATAGTTAAAATGTATTATGATGATTAAAATCAATTATAATATTTAAAATACAAATGATAGTTAAAATGTATTATATTTAATATAAGGATTTATTTTAATTTATAATTTTAATATTATATTAATTTAATTGTTTCAAATAAATATGATAATTTAAATAAATTGAATAATTAAATAAATACATTTTTTTAAATTATAATTGATTTATAAGTTTTATTTATAATTATTAATTTATTTAAATATTAATATAATAAATTAATTAAATTTAAATTTAACTTTTATTATTTGATTAAATTAAATAAAACTCAATTAAAAAATTAGGATTATCATTTAGTTAAATGCTATTCAATTAAATGATTTAATCATTTAATCATTTAATTGAAATAAATTGAATCATTATTAATAATATTTATATAAATGTATAATTTAAAAAATTAAAAATTTGCCTGAATCTTTTGATAAAACATTTTTTTTTTTTTGAAATCTGAAATTGAATAATATACTTTATTCAGTTTATAGTAAGATTAATAGGATCCTAAAAAAAATATTATCTTTCGCATGTAATATGCATTTTTGAGAGAATCTAGTTTATTTAAAGGAATTCATTATGTATTTCCAAAAAGATCAAAATTTGCTGCTCACCTGTCGCGTTAACAACCAATTCAATTTTCGGTCAATCTGGACCGATCTAGAATTGAAATCAAATGATTTGATTTGTTAAGATTATATAGTCACACGACAATTAATGATATAATAGATAACGTTACTTAATGCTATAGAAGGAATTAAAAATAAACAAGCCTCGAAAAAGCAGGCACAGGATTAATTCCACAGAAAAGGTTGGGAATTTTATGCAAGCATTGCCCAACCCTAATTTAAAACTCATTTGAAAATTTTTTAAATAAATTTGGACGTCAAATATTTTTATTCGCCAAGAAAAAGGATGCATGAAACATTGCGGAGTTTTTGCAGCAAAAAAATTTCCTTCCAAAAAAGTAAAAGATTTCATCAGTCGGTTCCAGACCGTTTTCCCACCAAAAAAAGTTAAAAACAAGAAATTATCCATTTATTTACAAAATATTTTTTTTTTTTAATTTTTTTTTGGATAGACGTAAACAAAAAACCTTATGTTGAGGTAGATTTTCATGAATATCGAAAAAAAAAAAAAAATAGCTTAATGATTTAAATGATTGCGATTTGTTGATTATCATATACTAATATAAGAAAGATTTAGTTATATTCGATCTGTATGTCCGTATTGACAACAAGGTGGTTGTTCTAGTTATCATTGATCCTCGATTACATAGCGCAAATTTGATACACGACACACATAATATATATTATTGTATAATTTCTTTTTGAAATGGATAATGAATTTTCCAAGAAAAGTAACCTCATGAATCTGACAATCTTGGAAAGAAAAATAATAACGACGAATGTGATTTGGGATCTTATCAAAAATTTTTGCTCAAGGAAAGAAATTGCATTTTTTTAAAAACAACCATCGATTTTTTTGACATGATATAAAAAATTATTGTTATTGTTATTTCTAAAGGTATATCTTCAATTCACCGCGTCTTTCTATCGATTAAGAAAATTGATAGTCATTGTAATACCGTACCGAGAAATTGTAAATTTTAAAATTCTTCATGCTTTTTTTGCTGAGTTACTTAATATACTGTAAATCATATATTTATTTAAGATGATTCGATTCGAATTCACATCACCAACCACAAATTTCACAAACAAAATATCAGAATTTAAAATCATTTGATCTCTAAAAGAAAACACGGTTTGCTTAAAATTGCATAATGTATTAAATGTGTTTCCTCTTGGAATTGTTCCAAATCGCCAAAATATAAAAAATGAATTCTCATGTCGTAATATATATTTTTATATTGGCGTCTGAGCACCATTCAAGAAGGAATAAATGGGGGAATATTAAAAAAAAATTATAATGAACTTGTAAAAATGCTATAAAAGTAGCATCCGAGCACCTATTTGGTGAAACTGACAATCGGAATTTCTGAATATATATGTCATTTATTTTTTTTTTGTGTTTCTTGAGATGATCCAATCCTATTCGATTTCCTTTATTTATACATCTAAACTTCCCAAAATAAAAACTTTTCTTCAAGGGTTCGTATTGAAGTTCAATTTTCCTACAATTTGATAAATTGTGGACATATAGAATTGGATAACATTTATTTTGAAATATCCTCTCGCAAAAATTTTACACAAACAAATACCACAGAAGATAATCCGAACGATTAATAATACAGAAAATGGAACTGTGAAAATTGGGAAATTCCCGATTAAAATTGTTGAGAAATTAAGCACGTCCGGTGACGATCGACATTCGCGGTTACTTTTATTATTTTTATATATATATATTTTTTTTTCGTAATTGAATAAAGGGAGAATTAATTCATAAAAAATGTGTATAATATAAACGCTATTTGTTTGCAAACAAAATCTTTGAAAGAAAGTTTTAAAGTTTCTTTTGTCGACCAATCAATGTTACAAAAGAATAAAAGAAACTATGTTTCAATCTCATACGGATTCTGATCCAGTTAATGAGAATTTATCTTGGCGAAAACCAAATAATAACGGGCCGCATGCCATATCCCCTACATTGCACTACAATGTAAATGAACCAACCACTAAAATTATGATATGATAAAAAGTTATATAATATATAATAATTACACTCAGTCGTAGATCGTTGTCTATTTTGCTTTTGACAAATCTATTATTATTTAAAAATGTATTACTTGATTTGAAGATTGTCGTTTATGGCAAGATTACTTTAATCAAAATTTTTCGAATTAGTGAATCTCCGATTTTTCTTTTGATCATTGGCAGTGTAAAGGCTGAATTTTTTTTTTTTTAAAGCCACCTTTTCCTCATAATTTCACTTTTTTTTTACAACTAAAATTTTTTTTCTAAATAAAGTATTTATACAGTTAATGTAGTAATGTAGTAATGTTACACCAAAGGTTTGTTGTTGTTGTCCACTGAAAATCATTAAAAATAATAAAAAAAAAAAAAATAATAAATTATCCCTCCTTTTTTACTGTAACAGTAAACTTTATTTATATATATATATTAAAATTAAAAAATCGAAAAAAACTTTTTCATGTAAACTTTTTCCTCAAAAAAAAAAAAAAAAAAAAAAATTCTAATAATAATTTAAAAAAAAAAATTTACTTTGTATTTAATTTAAACTTGTTCTTTTTAAAAGAAACATATTCCTATTACAAGGGCAAGTTTTTACTACATAATATCAAACTTTATCTCTTTTCAAATACTTTCTTTTTTTTTTTTTAAAAAAAAATTTAATTCTTTTATTATTTTTAAATTAAATATTTATTTATTTTTATAAATTTTTTTTTTTATTATTTAATCCTTGCGTTTACTTTTTACTCAATAAAAAGAAAGAAATTTAATTTCTCCCACTCTTTAAATATCTGAATATGATGTCTTCAACCATTCCTAGTAAGCGTACACGCTTTTCCGAACTTGAACAAACACAACAGCAACAAGACCTTCAGAATCTCCAACAAAATTTACAACAATTTAATCAACAATCTCAATTACGTCAAATGTATCAGAGTCCAAATCAACACCAGCATCAATTGGTTCCTGGAGAATTAATTCAATCCCCACAAGTTCAACAACAACAACAACAAAAAGAATCCGAGACTCCGCTACTGACGGAACAAGATATTCGCCGCCTTGAAAAAGGGATTGATTTATTAATCGATGCTATAATTCCAAATAAAAGTCAACAAGCCAAAGAAGCTGCTACAATTATTATCAATTCTCTTTCTTCTTTAAAATGTTATGATAATATAGTGACACAAAAAAATGATTCGCAACATTCGAACTCAAATTCGATTGTATTAGATATGCCAACTCTTAATGAACCGACGCAAAATAAATCAGAAAAGATCGCGTCTCCATTGTGTCAATTGTTAAATCACACATACCCAAATAGTATCGTGGAATTGGTTCATAAACTCTCTAAAATGTCTTTGAATCCCTTAGATTTACCTGTAACTTTATCCCCCTCAACAAATAATACAAAATCGATAAGTAATTCTTTACCGCAGAAAGTACCATCTTCAATACCTGCTATCAAACCCACCAAAATATATCCTCCATCAAATGAATTATGTCAGCAATTAATGCAAGATTATTTTAATCATTTTAACACCACAATTCCAATATTGGATCGTCGGAAGTTTATCGATCACTGGCGTAATAAAAATAACAAACACTCTCAATTATTGGTCGCTTCTACTTTAGCTTTGGCTGCTGCAAGGTATTCAGATGACCCTTCCATCCAAAAAACTCAGGATAAGCCTGGTGGCGTTTTCTTTGATACTGCAAAGGTTAGATATTAAGATTATTTTAAATCAGAATTAATTTTAACCAGGTTCTGACACGCGATTTCAATTTATCTTACTGCATGTGATCGTTTACGTTGACGCGTTAAAAGAAACTACTAGATACGATGTACGATAAGCCTCGGTTGGAAACCGTGCAAGCATTATTATTGCTTTCTCACTCAGAGACTAGTTTATCACGCATAGATAGCAGTTTTATGTTTTTAGGCATGGCTGGTAAGATTTAAAAAAGTTTAAACAGCATGAGATTCTATAATCAATATAATCAATATTAAATATTAAAATTTATATATATATTTTTATATATATATATATTTTTTTTTTTAAAAAAAAAAGTTCAAATGTCACATACGTTGCACCTTGGTCGTAACGATTCTTCTAATTTGATACCCGAGGAAGATGAAGAAAGACGTAGAATTTTTTACTGTGTTTACTGTTGTGACAGATGGATTTCATTTTTAATGGGAAAGCCATACTCGATCGACAATATAAACGTAAACGTTCAATTACCATCATTACCCTCATTTGATCCACCAACTCGAAATTTCTTTATCTCCTTCATAAAGCTATCACATATAATTGGAGAAATTTGGAAATTTGGCTATTCATCACAACCAAAGGCAGCACAATCAAATTGGATGGGTCATGCAATGGATCAAAAGAGTATGTTGAGACAAATAAGAGCTGCATTAGCAAAATGGTTGAAGGAATTACCTGACGAATTACAATATCAATATTTGCCAAACACCGATACTAAAAGCTTATTCCAATTGGCAAGGTTCTCTGTTTATGCAGGATATATTAATATTCTGTTTCACACTTGTATTATTTTATTACATCAACCTTATTTGACTCAGGCTTATGATAATCCAAAAATTGAGGCAAACCAAGGTCCAATTAAAACTTGTCTTACTGCCGCGACCACTATTACAGATATTGCAAAGACAACGAGGCATTTTGATAAGAAAGCATTTTGTAACTTTTTATTCCCAATCTATGGAATATTACAATCTGCTATAATGGAAATGGTCATCATGAATGGTTCTGCTGAGCATGCTCAATGTGCAAAGAAATCTCTAAATGATACTTTGGAAGAATTAAGATCCGCTGCAGATAACGCTAATTATGGTTCTCTTAAAGAGATTGTAAAAGAATTAGAATGTATTATGATGATCGCTAATGGAAATACTGATAGTAGTCATATTTCAATTCCATTTCCTCTGGTTTTACAAATGTTAGAATTTCAACAAAATAATTCTCAACATTCACAAAAATCATCTCTGATTAATAACAATAGTAATAATAATAATAGCAACAACAACAACAACAATAATAATGCTTCTTCCAATTCATCAACGATAAATAAATACTCGGATGATAATGATTTCATGGATGATTCTCTAAGAATTGAATATCAAAATTCAAATGGAGATAACTTAATTGAAAGTGAATCTAATTCTTCGATAACTTTGAATAGATTACAACGAAATTTAGCGAACACAAATTCGTCACCGCCTTTACAGCAGCGAACAGCTATACAAATAACTCAACAGCAACAAATACAATCACAATCAAATATGTTTATGATGTCGTCGCCAACTTCCAATACAATCTTTAATACATCGTCACAAGATCATACAACAACGCCAGCAGCTACTTCACTACAACAATATCACCACCTTTCATCGTCATATAATGGAAGTAGCCAACCCGCTCATGATATTTCATCACAATCTGGTAACTCTCAATGGGAATCTTACTATGATGATTACGTGTTTGACGTAAATCAGGGTAATGTTAATAATGTTAATACAACCAATTCATCTGCTCCTCATCATGTTATGGATGATTTATCATTATATTCTACTTCCGCCGGTTTAATACATACCTCACAAACGAGTCATCGTCTTCATGATGGGAATGGTAGTTCTTAATAAAAGAAAATGAATAAATAAAAAGGCTGAAATTGAACGATTAAATAGTGAATAAAAAAAGAGTTTTAATGAAGCTCTTTAAAAGAATGGAATGAATCGAAATATTGTTTTGATTTTGTAATACTGTATGTATGAATAGGATGTGATATAATATATCTATATAGATATATTTTTTTTTTAAAAAGAAAAAAAAATAACTGTATTTAAATAAATCGATGTAATATATTTTTAAACTATAATATTGATAATCTTTTTTTTTTTTTTTTGGTTAACTAATTGTTTAGCTTTTATTTTTATTTAAATAAAATGTTAAAAAAACTATTTAAATTTATAAGTTAATATTTTTTATATAAATTATATAATATAAATAAAATTACATAATTTTTAAATAAATTTAATAACATTTAAATTATTTAAAAATTAAAAAAATAAAAATTAAAAATTAAAAATCTATTAAATAAAATATTAATTAGTATTATTTAATAATTTTAATTAATATTTTATATATTCATAAATTTAGAATTATATAAATAAATTTTTATTATTATATAAATTAAAATTTATTTATTAAAAATAATAGATATATAATAATAAAATAAATTTACAAGTTATTATTAATATAAATGTTTTATAATAAAAAAATAAAAAAATTCTTTGTATATAAAATAAAATTTTTAAACTAAAATATAGTAGTATACAAAAAAAAAATGCCAATTTTTAAAATTATAATATTTATATAATCATTATACTAATTAAAACATACAATATATTATTTTAAAGCTAAGAAGTAGTAGATTTTATTTAAAAAAATTATATAATATTTATATACCATTTTTATTAATAATCTTCTTACAATATCATGATATCAAATCTATAAAACCAATTACAAGGCTAATTGGTATTTTTTTTTTTTACTTATCATTTATAAACTTTTTGATTTACTAAGATTTTTAGCCCATAAAATCCTATATTTCTTTTAATAATTACCTAATAATTTTTAATGAGTTTTAAGCTTAGATTAATAAAGAACTAATCCATAATCTTTAAGATATTATTTTTGAAAAATTACTTAGTAAAAAACTAAATTATTTAATAAAATAACTAAAATTTTATTTGCTAAAGCATTTTTACACTATTTTTATATTTAATTTTCAATTTTTTGAGATTTAGTAATAGTTTTATATAAAATTTTTATGAATTTGTGTATTTTAGTAACATTGTGCATTTTCTATTTTAGAAATATAATCTGATTGATATTAAATTTTTTTATCTTGATGAAATTACTTTAAAGCTTAATAAACTAAATTTTTTATTAAAGTATAGAAAAAGTTTTATCTTAAAAATAATATCTTAATTATAAGGTTTTATTTACATATTTATTCACATATATATGATTAAAAATTGAAAAAGTAACATAATAATAATTTGTTACAATAAAAATTGTTATTTTTTTGCACATCACTGTATATTTAATTTTAATATTAATTAAATTTTTTTTTATCTATATTGTATATAATTAACTTCTTATATAATCACCACCTATATAGTTATTTTATTTCTTTCTTATAAATATCTTTTGTTAAACTAAAGTTAATAATAAACTTATTAAAATTCTTTTTATAATCACAATAATAATTTTTTATAATCATACTATTTTTTTTTAATTCTAAAATATATAATTATATATAGAAAATCAATTATATATTAAATTTAATTTTTACTAATAAAAAATAATTAATTATAAAGTATAATATGCAATTTTAATACAATATTAACTTTAATATTAAGTTAGTATCTTTGATATTAGTATTAATAGAATATAATAATAATAATTTATTATAAAAAAAATTGCTAAATATTATTAAAAATTAAGTAAAAATTCAAAAAAAAATGTAATTAATTAGTGATATTTTAAAGATTAATATATAATAAATTATTATGAAAAAAGTTAAATTTTTAAACTTATATATCTTGCTATCTATTAATCTTAAAAATATGAAAATATAATCATTTAATAGGTCTTAATAAGATAAATCCAATAAACTAAATTTTATTTTCTTATAATTTATTTAATAATAAGTTATTTTAAAAAATTGAAAAATTGAAAAATTAATTTATATTAAT